AAACATTTAAAAAAAAAAAAAAAAAAAAAAAAAAAAAAAAAGAGACATTGAGGCAATGGGAATAGGAATAATCTGTGACTTGAGAAGATTCCCAGATTTTTAGCCTCCAAGTTCAAGGCTGCGTGCCTTCTCCCACCCTAACTGCATCTGATCCTCTAGGCTATTGTGGCTGCCCTAAGGTAACACAAATTGTTTTTATAGGGAATTCTTTGAGTAACTTCTCCTTAATCAAAATGGCTTGTTTTAACAAAAGGGAATGCTGTATGGAAATCAGAAGGTCCCACCCTTTAGTTCAGTTCAAACTCTATGCCATTACAGCAGACTCTTAGGTAAGGGTCTCACCCAGAAGACTCCCTTGAGAGAATGCAGTTGGGTCCTTTCTGGGCAGAATTAGAGTTAGGCCCCATTTTCTTACCTCAAACCCACTTGTCCCGTCTCTAACCCTTACCTGGTTCTCTCCCAAGACTTTCGACCTAAGAAGAGGTAAAGATTGAAGTCTAGAAGGCTTTAGAGTCTGGTACTTTCCACATATATTACTTTGACTACTTAATATCTTTAGGCTTCAGTTTCTGAAGAATGGGGATAATAAGCTTGGCTGTCAGTGGGTCCTTGTAAGGATCCAATGAATTTTCTGTGTACAGGTCCTTCCTGTCTATGACTGTTGTCAATATTATCATTACCCAGCACAGAGAAGTATGCTAGGATTTTTAAAAAACTTTTTCATGTAGGTGGTCTTATTATCAAAAAGTGTCCAGACAGGCACTAATTGGTTTTAGGTACATTTTTTCTTGGTCTGTGGAAGCTCAGACCCTGACTCTGATGCAAATAGATAAATAAATGAATAAATGAATAAATAAATAAATGGCTCATGGAGTCAGGTGTTAGTGGGGGTGCTCCCTGGCTGGTCTTAGCACCTGCCTCTAGACTGAGTGGGTGATTTTGCCATGCATACAGACCTGTTTAAAAACACACCTTCAGTGCATCAAAATAGCCCACTATCCTCAGAACAGCTTCGCTGCCCTCAATATAGTCCACTGTCCTCAGAACACCCCTTGTTGGAGGAATCAGGTTACCTTTGGGGGCATAAACTGCTTTTCTCAGGCAACCGTTTGAGACCTTCAATTGCCTATAATGAAGTAGAAACTTTCCAACGTATGCAAAGGGTGACAGATCAAGGGAGTAAGACAGAAATTATACGTTGCCAAACGGATCTAGCTTGTAATGTTTTCATCCCAGTTTCTTATTTATGAAGCTTAAATGAAACGTTCAATAATTTACAGCAGAATTGCCTTCTCCCAGAAAACAGCAGATGTTAAAGCTCTCGTCCCAGGCTTTCTGTCTAGGGGACAGGGAAGTGGGAGTCTCTTACAGGGCTGCGCCTGCTGCTTCCCTTTGATTTTCAGCAGCTTTCTTCCTGCGCTGCAAGTGAATTGTTGCTCTTTGCCTGCAGGTAAAGAATAGTTCTGCTGGAGAAGAAAATGTGTTTCCGAGGCAGATCTGGTGCTCTTCCCGCTCAGCACTCAGGGCACTCTGAGGAATTTCTCACTTTAAAGACCCCATTGCTCTCCATCAACGCTCCCTTTATTTTTTCGTCTAACTCTTGCCAGTGAGAGCATAAAAATGGCTCTCTTCCCTTTCTTAACAAAAGCTCAGACAATTCATCCCCCAGGACGTCACTATCCTCTATCCCTTATAGAACTTCCTTTGTTTGCCTTGAGGGTTGACACTTCCCTAAACTCTTCGCTCCATGCCCATTCTTCTCCGAATCCCCAAAGCACACAGCTCATCCGGTCCTCAAGTATTACCCAGGGTCCCCTTTGTATCAGGCACAAGGCTGTGGATATGAAGTGAGCTGATAAGACATCACCTTGTCCCTTTGAGGGTCAAAAAGTATTTGTACTGGCAAAGTAAATTAATTACTTATTGAGTACCCGTGCTATGCCAAACACTGAGCTGCAAGTAATAGGTGACCTAGAAGAATAAGAAAGATGAGGCTAAAGGAAGGATTTTGAGTGTGTATGAAGAAGACAATTCCAACTGTACCTTTTAGAGAGACTCGGGGATGCTGTTAGGTCCATGAACAATGGGCTCAGAAAAATTCATCCCTTGACCACAAAGCTAGTACAGGACAAATAAGGTTTAGAACCCAGTATCTTTCCCTAATTGTTATACACGTTGGCTTTGAGGACTGATGTGAACAAATCAGAATCTGAGAGTCGTTTCTGGCAACACTGTGCGCTGTTAAGTAAGAGTGGCTTCAGAGAATGGACTGAGCTTGGCTATAGCGGTCAGAGAGGAGATTTGGGATAGGTCTTGAAATGCAGCTAAGATGAAGAAAGATCGTGGCAAAGAAAGTGGAGTTCTCCCTGTGGGCAGAACAGGCCATGGCCAGCACCAGTGGGTTAGTGAGGGCTGGAAGGCAGTGGGCATGCGCCAGTGCTGTGCTGCAAGGATGGCCACGATGAAGGCAGAATAACTCCCTTGTCTCTGCTAAGGAAACCTATGCTTGCAGCTACTGGTGGGGAACAATGAGGGTGGGGGGGAGGCCTAAGGAGCTGTCTCCTGCCAACAAAACCTAAGGAAGTCACCTGGCATCTGTAGGTGTGATCAGCTTCAAGTGGGCATGATTACAATGGAGCTTTTTCATCTCTAAATCCCCAGTCTCTCTCCCACACACCTATGAAACTCAAGACCACCAAACTGGGAACAAGGGTTTAGTTAGTCCTAGGCCACTGGTTGTTTTCACAGAGGGACAAACCATGAACCCTTTCCTTAAGGAGCTTACAGTCATTTTCTTAATTTTGACAATTAATATGTCAAAATTACTTATGAAAACAAGACCAGATGCCATGTCCCAGAAAGCAAAATTCCTCGGTCATAGAATTTTGAGGCAG